GGGCAGACACGATCTCAGCACTGGCCCCCATTTCCCCCCATCTCTCCCCATCTCTCCCAATCTCCCCCCATCTCCCCGAGGGCAGACACAGATCTCAGTGCTGGCCCCCATCTCCCGGAGGCAGGTAGATTCCACCCAGCATTGGTGCTCCCATCACTGTCCCCGCTGCCGCGGACATTTCTGTGCTGGTTGGGGGTCTGCCATTCTGGCTTAGCTGCCTCTTGTAACACATCAGCATCTGGCAGACATTTCCCTTTCAGTGTCTCTGGGTGTAGTGAACCCCTTTGGATTGGAGCAGCCAAAGCATCTAGAAGGATTCTGCAGCATCTTTTTCCTGCTGTGAAGGGCAAAGTGAGTAAAGGCTATGGTTTTGGTTTGATTTGGTTTGGATTAGATTTGACTCAAATTCTTTAATTCATGGAGCACTACATTTCACCTTCCTGGGTCGCAGCCCCTGGCCTGGAGGTTGAAATAGCGCATGGCTCGGTGCAAAAAGTCCCATACTGGGGCGTCTGCTCGACATGGTTCCTACCAGCGGTTGCCAACCGGTGGTCCGGGGACCACTGTGGTCCGTGAGGTCCGAAAGGTTGGCGACCGCTGGTTCCTACAATTCTGGCGTGTTTATTACACACCCACATGATTCTCTAAATAAGACAAATTTATCATTATATTTGCCACTTTAATATGTTATAAAGTCAACAGCACTGACTGAAGTTACAATTCTTGAATTAAATAGGTTTAAATCTTAAAGTAACTTTAATAAAGTTAGAAGGATAAAAGATACATGTAGTTCCACTCTAAAAGTTACTGGTATCAAAATGCACAAATATTACTGACAAGAATTCTCCAGAATAGATACAACCTAAAATTCTTTCCTCTAAGAACATGCTCTAAATGTTATGAACACTCTTGGGTTGAAGATTTAAATTCATTATTTGTAATTAAAGAAAGTAGATATATGTCTTCCTATTTCTCAATATTTTATACTTAAAGTAACCTTTCACTTTATACCTAGCCTTGAATTAGGATTCTGAAATACAGTTAGCTATCCATAACCTGAACTTGGTGGCAGATTTTCAACATTAAAAATTACTTTGTAAAAGTGTGTAGGGTGAAAATCACCCAAGTAAAATAAAAATAAAACTTACACAAACTGTCATTTTTCATCATATCATTACTCTTTTCTTTGTTGGTTCTTCATTTAAAGCCAAAAATAACCAGTAATTAGAAATTAAACTTTAAAATTTGTGCTGTGCTCACTTAGTCATCAGCTGACGATGAACGCCTTCCCACATGCCAGCAGAGTCCCAGGTGCCACCCAGAGCCGGTCACAGCCTCAGTGCCACAGGGACACATGCGTCTACCCCCGAGTCCGCAGGAGGGAATGAGACGCGGTGTGACTCGCCGGACAACATGAAGCTTTGCCACCTCAGCAGCCAGGGTCGCGGTGCTGCCACACAAGGACAGGGAAGTGGGCACAGTGTGGTGGCCAGGGTCTCGGAACTGAACCAGCCCTGCTCAATTTTAGGGGATCAGCCGGGGAATCATGGGAATGTGACCAAAAGCCACCAGTCTCGCAGCCCTTCCTCCCAAAGGCCCTTTCACTCTGAGTCCTGCCACGTGCACAGCAGAGGCCTGAGACGCTGCACCAGACCCTGTCTTCTCTGAGCTACATGCCAGGTTCCCCGTCTTAGTGCGCTGCGTACGTACCGGCGAGCCGTCTCTGCAGCGCCTCCTCCTCGAGGGCAACAATGTACATCTGCTCGTCCAGGTCCTCCAGAATCTAAAGGGAAGACCAGGCTGTTGAATGGGGCAATGTCACAAAACCACGTTGATGAGAATAGCGGCTGTTGGGCCTGGGATTCAGATTACCATTCAATGACTAGGAATCTATACTAACAAAAGGGTAATATGCTAATTAGACTGGATAGACCGGAAGTCTTCCAGACAAAGCTACAGTGGCGGGGGCCGAGGCAGAGCAATTAGGGGCGATCAGGCCGGCAGGGGAGAGCGGTTAGGGGCAATCAGGCTGGCAGGGGAGAGCGGTTAAGGGTGATCAGGCAGGCAGGCAGAGGGGTTAGGGGTAATCAGGTAGGCAGACAGGTGAGCGGTTAGGAGCCAGCGGTCCCGGATTGCGAGAGGGATGTCCAGATTGCGGGATCGGGACTAAACCAGCAGTCGGACATGCCCCGAAGGGTCCTGGATTGAAGAGGGTGCAGGCTGGGCTGAGGGACCCCCCCCCTCCCATGCACGAATTCCATGCACTGGGCCTCTAGTCTAAAATAAAAATGCTCAAACTACTTGATTTACAAATTAAGTAAAAATATTTCAGTGTATAACTACATACATCAAAAGCTGATAATCACAAAATCTACATATATTTAATTGGGTATTTTTTAAGTTTAAAGGATGAAACCACTCTGCAGTTCTCACTGGCAGACAAAGTGCAGACTCTAAACGTCGCAGGCTCCCTGCAGTGGGCTCCCCATGCCGGCCAGTGTGTAGAGCAGAAGGCAGGCCACCCACCCAACACTGGCTCCTCATCTCTACTTCTCACATCATGTTCAGAACCAGAAATCCATAAACTGACCCACTACCAGGCAATGCTTTCTATCGACATCTCTACACTAGAAATTTCCCGCAAATGTTCCTCACGGTGTTGCTGAGACCACCCTTTAGACAGGAGCCTGGAGAAACTAGGCTGACGAACGCACCCTCACTGTCACGCCATCCAACACAAATAAGGAACAACAAAACCACGGTCAATAGCCAGTCATGTGGGTGTGATCCTCACTGTCTCCAAAACGATCCCCCTGAACGTCCCGTCACAGCTGTGCTAACAGGGCTGTGCTCGGGGGACCTGGAGGACGCCAGAGCGGCACCATGTTCTGTGCGATTAACTCCCGGCCACTCTCCCAGCTACGCCGTGACTGTGAGGAGCAGGGACAGAACAGGATGGAGGCCGCCAGGTGCCAAGTCTGCAGAATTCACATCAGACTGATGGCAACCCAACAGTTCCCAGGATCTGAACAAGTACTGACAGCCTCTCTCCTCTGGCCTGAACTAATAACAAAAGAAGCATGCATAGCAATGAGTACCAATAACTACAGAAGAGGAGCATCCTGGACCAGGCGGGACGGGAAGACAGGGCTCTCTGAGGACAATACTCGGGTCCCTCCCAGTTGGGAAAGGAGGGCTCCCCTAAAAGCCCCAAAGGAGGTGGGGCTGGGGGACCAGGCGGCTGAGGGACCCAGCAGGCTCCGAGTGTGTGGAGCGCAGGGACTGACCTTCCCACCTGGGACCTCCTGTCTGGACCACAGGTGACAGTTGATACTTTCCTAAGGTCTGACACGCACAAAGGACGTTCTCACACTGGCAACGGTCAGATACTGACTGACCCCACAGGTCTGCTGGTGGGAATGACGGCGGGAGCACCCGGGGGCGGGGGGTGGGGGGGAGCAGAAGTGGGGTGACAGTTGCTAAAGCTCCTGCGAGCATCAGAGCGTGCCTGCCTTTCTCCACGCGCACAGCTGCAGGCCCACTTCTGCCCACCCCTGTATTTGAGGAAAGAGTTTGCATGGACTGTGCCCTTGAGTCTACAATACCCTAAAAACATACTGCCACCACCCCGTCTTGGAATCGCCAAGGAACAAGGGTTTGGCGAAGAAGAATCATCTGCCTTTGGAGCCTGCGCCTTAACCACTCGGGTCAGACACAGGCCTGGACCTCCCGTGGCATGTGTTCCAGCACCCAGGAAAGATGTGATAAGCTCAAAACATGACTTAAACGTCACAACTGCAGTGAAAATACAGTTACAGAAGGACAGGGAAAGAAAGATCCCCAACCTCCGCTGAGGAGAAAGGTCTTGGCCAGTGCTGTTGGTGGTGGCAGTGCCTTCCCTGGTGGCTGAATGCACCAAAAGGAGGTGAGGCACCCAGCCAGAGGTGACACCGTGCCCACAGTGGGAGCAGGTACCCCGTGCTCGCGGCAGCGGGTGAGGATGCTGGAGCTCTGCGGACAGCGGCGCCCGGAGCCAGGCTCTGACCCAGCCCTGCTGTCCCCTCAGGCCTGTGACCTGGAGCAAGCATCCCACTCCCAGAGCTGCAGATGACTCAGCCAGCCAATGAGAAGCCACCCCCGAGCCTGCGCGTCTGCCACCAGAGGGGAGGGAGTGAATTACGTGTGCAAGGACACAGCAAAGATAATGAGTGTTTTCAGGATCCTCTTAATAATAGACAAATCTGGGGAAAATAAGCGTGGGAGGGGCTATGAAGAAGGTGTTGGTTTTGTGCGTGAGCTTGTTCTCACTGCCTTTCCTCACCAGGGTCAGACACAGAGGGAGAAGTGGCCACTCCGAGAGCAGAACGCAGCCCAAGACCACACTCAGGACGTCACACCTCTGCCAAAATTTAGGGCAGGAGGTGCTAGTGGAGAAAGAGGCCAAGATGCGTAAACAAACCAGAGAAAGGAAGAAAGTGAATGCACGCGGGGCCACCGCATCTGTCTCCAAGGGCGGTGGTTCTTGGGTGGACTGTGTGTACATCAAGCATGTCAAACTCGCGGCCCACAACGAATATTTTTGTGGCCCAGCCAATATAAAGGTATATAAGAAACGTTTTAATAAAAATTTTGTAACTTAATTTTTATAATATGTTATACATAATTATTAATAATGAACTACAACGTTCACTAATGACTAATTACTATAATCATGTTGCATTCATTTCCCTTACGCACCTTATGCACAGGTGCACCATTTCTCTCCACTAATACTAGCGGCGAATACTTTAGCAGGCTATGGCCACGTCATTAGTCTTGGACTGACTTGTTTGGTGTGCGCAACAGGAAATATTTCGCTTTCAGAGAACAAGAAAAATAGGTTTATTTGTGTTACGCTTATTAATTTGTGCAGTTATTCAGTGTCTGGTAAGTTAATGTTCAAAAAAAAATATTAATTTTCATTAAAATGTTCTATTATTTTATGTTAACGATTCCTCATGTCTCTATCGAAATAAACCTACGTTTCTATGAAAATTGAAGCTTTTGTTTTTTTGTGGCCCACATAAACTTAAACCTTGTTTATTTGGCCCGTGTAAGCCTTTGAGCTTGACATGCTTGGTGTACATGGTAACTGCTGTGTGCACATTTAGGAAGCAAGTAAGAAGTCCAATTTTAGTTTAAAGAAGATAGGAAGAGATTGACATTTATTAAAAAAGCCCAAGCCCTAGCCGACTTGGCTCAGTGGATAGAGCGTCAGCCTGCGGACTGAAGGGTCCCAGGTTCAATTCTGGCCAAGGGCACATGCCTGGGTTGCGAGCTCTATCCCCAGTAGGGGGCGTGCAGGAGGCAGCTGATCAATGGTTCTCTATCATCATTGATGTTTCCATCTCTCTCTCCTTCTCCCTTCCTTTCTGAAATCAATAAAGAAATATAAAAAATATTTAAAAAAAAAAAAAAAGCCCAAGCCCTGGCTAGCGTGCTCAGTGGTTAGAGCATGGCCTGCGCACCAAAGGGCCTCAGGTTCGATTCCTGGTCAAAGACATGCACCTGGGTTGCAGGTCAGATCCCTGCCCCAGTCAGGGATGCAGGAGGCAACCAATTGATGTGTCTCTCTCGCATCAATGTTTCTCTCTCTCTTCCCTCCACTCCCTCCCTTCTTCCTACTCTCCCTCCCATTCTCTCTAAAAACCAATGGAAAAAATATCCTCCGGTGAGGATTAAAAAAAACAAAAAACACTTTCAAAATTAAGCAAGCATTTACTAAAAGAATATCTATTACATTTCCTTATTTTCTCCCTAAGAAAAGCGAACCTATGACCATAAAAATGTAGTAACTACTACTAGTAAGACACAGACAGAGGGGAGTGAGAGCTGTAGAAGGAGCTCAGCTACTTTGGCTGAAAGCAGTGAGGCCGGTTCAGAGATGGCAGTGGGCAGCTGACCGCAGAGCCGGCCGGAGGAGGCCAGCAGGGCTGGGGGGGCCGGAGGCGCCGAGGGAGAGGCCCTGGGCACAGCGCCTGGAGCACAGCAGGGCCGCCGAGTCTACAGTTAAAGTCACTTGGGGCAGGGAGTGCAGGAGGGTGGCGGCTACAGGTACACTCAGTGCGGAGACTGTGGAAGGTGCTGTAGCATGTTGATAGTTTACAGTTTGTAGGCAGTGAGGATCCATGAGAGTGATTTGAGTGACAAATGTCCTAGATACAGCTAAGAACTGCTTTCATATTATGAAATATTTGACAAAATACCTAGAGGCCAAAGAAACTTAGGGACAGATTGTTAGAGTTAGTACTAATTGAAAATGAATATACAGTACTTCTGAGATTAAAGGGACAAGATCTAATATGCAGCAAATTTTCAGAAACATAACTGCTTTGTAAATCAAAGAGCCCATGTAAAGATTTTGAAACATAACAGTTATTATTTGATCTAAGGTAACGAACACTTACAATACCTGTATTAGTAAACCTTGTCTTAAAACTTCTACAGAATTTTTACCTGAGTGCCTATAGTTAGTATTTTAAAAGCAAAAACAAATGTGGTTTCCAAAAATGAAAAGGATTAAAACAACCACAATTTGGATCATAAACCCACAGAAATAGTCTTCTGCTGTGTCTGAGTGCGTTCACAACCAAAGGCTGGGGATGCAACACGGTTCCCACTACTCACCGCGGGCTTCACCAGCAGCTGGCCCATGACGGCGAACATGCGAGACAGGCCGACCGGGGTGCACACTGCGGGGAGAGGCAGAGAACGCTTACTGCGAGCACACAGACCGCCAGCCTGCACACCGCGCTAAGTCAGACTGGCTCTCAGAAAGTTCTGTCTCCGCTTCAGACTCTCGGTGTCTGTCGGAGGCTCCTCAGCATGGTCAAGAGGGCTGGCGAGTCACTTCCTGTACTTGACGAGGGACAGGTGATGGCTAAAGACTGAGGACACGCGAGCCTCTAGCACAGTGGTTCTCAACCTTCCTAATGCCGTGACCCTTTAATACAGTTCCTCATATTGTGACCCAACCATAAAATTATTTTCGTTGCTACTTCATAACTGTAATTTTGCTACTGTTATGAATCGTAATGTAAATATCTGATATGCAGGATGTATTTAGGCGACCCCTGTGAAAGGGTCGTTCGACCCCCAAAGGGGTCGCGACCCACAGGTTGAGAACTGCTGCTCTAGCAGCTGAATGATAAGCATTTTCACTTACAAGAAGCTAAAGAAAACCAACTAAAGAACAGACTGATTTCAAGCACTAATGAAACTGAGAAGCAGACAAGAATATCTAAAAGTGACAACTATCATCTTAAATCCTTATAACAACACTTATCTGTTTATAATATCCCTGAGACATGTGGTGACGTCTTAAGTAAAACTAAGCAAGTTTAAAATAAAGACCGTAATTGATCACACACAATTCTATCATTACCATTCAAAAGTAGAGTCTAGTGTCAGAATAGTTAAGGGTATGGGGGCCATGTGCGTGCACGTGAATATGTGCATGTCTGTGTGCATATGTGTGTCTGTGTGCATATCTGTGGATGTGTCTGTGTGTGCAGGGTTTGTGTATGTGCACGCGTATGTCTATGTCTATATGCGTGTATATGTGCATGTCTGTGCGTGTGTGCCTGTGTGTCTATGTGTGCATGTGCCTGTGTGTGCGAATGCCAGCATGTGCACGTGTCTGTGTGCATACCTGTGTGTGCGCCTGTGTCTGTGTGTGTGTGTATGTCCCTGAATGTGTGTCTGTGCCTGTGCACATGTGTATCTATGTCTGTGTTTGGGGGGGGGGTGTCTCTGCATGTGAGCATGTGTGCAACCATGTGTGTATCTCCCCCTCCACCCACCCTTTACCCCAACCCTGTGAAAGAAGTTTTTCTTAGAGAACAACACAAGTGTCTTATTATTTCAAAGTTTCAGTTTATCAAAATTTGCCTTGAACATAAAAAAAGTTAAGGGCCACCCGGCCAGCGTAGCTCACTGGTTGCAGGTCAACCTATGAACCAGGAGGTCACGGTTCGATTCCGGGTCAGAGCACATGCCTGGGTTGTGGGCTCAATCCCCGGTGTGGAGCATGCAGGAGGCAGCCGATCAATGGTTCTCTCTCATCATTGATGTTTCTATCTCTCTCTCCCTCTCTGAAATCAATAAAAATATAAAAAATAAAGTTAAGGGCCAACTTTTTCAAACTCTCCAAGCTGTAAGGAATGTCATCGGAGAAATTCCCATAATTCTCTAGAACACAGAAGAACTCTCTTTTCCGATCAATATTAAGTCAGAAAAATACTTACAGAGAAGCAGCAAACATCCCATGAGTGATACACAAGAGTACAAATAGGGCAGGTAGAACTCCCAGAGATCTGTGAAAAAAGTCCATGTTTTTTAGTAAATCCAAAACACTGTACATTGAGATAGAGGCTGACTATGAATTAATGTACAGTAAACATCATAATTGCCTATTTGGGCCTAAACCATATAATTTCTAAACAGCACAACAAAAAGACCTAAAATAACCCCTTTGCAACACTTGTCTAGAAGGAGAAAAAAAGCCTCCGTGGAATTTTAAGAACAGAAACCAATTAAAAGATACTCTGCACACAGGTAACACCTGAGCAGTCATTGCTTTCCTAAATGTCTCTAAAGGTTTCTTACTTCTGTAAACGAACAAGGGCTCACTACACGAAGAACTATTTCAATGCTTTAAAAGTGAGTGGTGAGCAGGGCTCCATGGGAGAAACTGGTTCAAGCCGCAAGCGCACCATACAGAGACTCCCTGCTCGCCGCGTCCTTGTCCACGAGCGCGGAGGCCACCCACACCATCCCCAGGACCAGCAGCGCCAGGAGCAGGAGCATGACCAGCGTCTCCAAGATTCGGGCTCGGAGTCCCTGAAAAGTAAGTAGAGGCATGATTTTAATATTGTATTACATCTCATGAACAAGTAGGTTTCTAGCCATAGATAGAAAGCATAAAATTTCTTGGGAAGGGGCGGAAATTTATTATTTATCAGCAGGAAAAAAACGTGAAGTGCTTACAGTTTGTAATGTTGAGACTGATTTTTCCAAAATTATGTAAAATAGCATTAGCTTTGAGGAAAGTACAAAAAAATATTATTGATCCAAAACATTTTGCAGAATCATCCTAAACAATTAATTACTTTCCTCACACACCAAGGAAGCAGATTACCCAGTCTTTACCTGTGATCCTAATCAAGGGAACAGGCCCATCCAGGCGCTGGGCCAGCGGACCTCTCGCAGCTCCTGGCCTCCAGCGCCCTCTAGTGAGCAGCGGAGGACTAGCCCGGCAGGAGAGACCAGAGATGGTCGGTTTATACCAGGGATACAGATAGAGCATCCCCTTCCCATTAGAGCCTTCTCCCTACTCCATGAGGCTGGGACCTAACAGTCATTATGCACCATTTGTTTTCAATATAAACAATACTGGCCTCAAAGCCAAACTAGAGACCATATTTTTAAATTGAAACCCACTAGACAAGGCAAAACAAAAAGTTAATGCGGAGGAGAGGGGAGGAGTGAGGTGAAAAACCCTAAATCACCTTCTTGGATTCTTATTACCCGAGTTACTAAAAACTTCCTTATGCTCCTGAAAAGTCACCAAATGACTGATCTGAAGCTGAACTTAAAGATGCATATTGATACTGTAATGCGCTCATCTACACCTACCATGACAAACAAAATTATAAGTACATCCATGTTTCTTAATAAACCATGTAACCTTCCCTTCCACATCGAAAAGAACTTAAAGATACGAGTTACAAATAAAGAACCTACACGCCCACTTAGCCCGATTCTGCCCTAAACATTATTTTCCATTTTCTGGTTTAAAGGAACAGGTTGCCCTTAGACTGTGGCACCTGTTCCTCATGTGTGACAGGGGACAGGGCGTGTCCTGAGACCGGGAGAGTGGCATTCCTCGGCCTCGATGAAGACTCGGAGTGGCATGGCCTTTCCCCTGGCCCAGGCCCATGCAGTGCCCGGGCAGGACAGGCGCCTGTTCCGGTGTAAGCGTAGGTTCCGCCGGGCCCAGCACTGCTGTGCTGGGCCAGAGTGAGCTTGTCTTCCATGAGACAGTGGCTGTTTCCACAGGGAGATGAGGTAGGAATGGTCACAGAACACACTCCCAGTTCACAGGAGAGCCTCACAGCTCTGAACCTTGCCCTGGCACGGCACTCTGGCACCAAAGCACACCACTTTTTAATAGTGATTTCTTTCTCCTTCTTCCTCTCTTTCTAGGCAATAATGTGTTTTTCTAAGCAAGAATTTTCTGTTACCCATTAAATACTGTATGGAAAGCCTCTGAGTGAGACAGATAAAAAGAGTGGGCGCTCTGTGTGTGCCCCACGCTAGCCGCCCGCAACAAGCCAGAAGTGCCAGGGCTCCCACAACATGGAACACGTGTGTCATAAGCACTGTGACATATGAGCAAAGTCACACAGCAGTGTTGACAGATAGAAACGGAGCAATAGTACTCCGGGAACTATCTGAGACCCGCTGCCCAAACAAAACTGTTTTAATAATATATTATATATGTGTGTGCGTGTGTGTATAAAAAGAGGTAATATGCAAATTAGCTGTGATCCTGTAACAGTCATGACTGGTCAGGAGGAGGCTACCTGCACAGGTGAGGCCCGGAGCGGAGACGGAGACAGGGGGGCCTGCCCAAGCCAGGCCAGGAGAGGGGAGGGGAGGGGAGCGGATAAATCACCTTCTTGGATTCTTATTACCCAAGTTACTAAGAATACTGTGAGTGGCGTACCGGGAGCTTAGCCAATGAGCGGTCAGAAAAGGTGTCTCCTCTGCAGCTCATGCGCACTGACCACCAGGAGGCAGATGCTCAACGTACAGGCATGGATACATGGAACAGACTGATAAATCTCAGAGGGGAGGGGGGAGGGCAGGAAAAGATTAACCAAAGATCTTAGAAGCCTGGTGTACAGATTAGTGCACCAGTGGGGTCCGTTGGCCTGGCCTGCAGGGATCAGGCCAAAACCGGCTCTCTGACATCCCCCGAGGGCTCCCGGATTGTGAGAGGGTGCAGGCCAGGCCGAGGGACCCCACCGGTGCACAAATCCGTGCACCGGGCCTCTATTAGTTATTATATTAAACAATTATAATGATGTAACCACAAGTACAGCATAAAGGTTAAGATGATGATGATCCATGTAGGAAATGACTCGCCATTTCTTTTTTTTTTTTAAATAGATTTTATTGATTTTTTTACAGAGAGGAAGGGAGAGGGATAGAGAGTTAGAAACATCGATGAGAAAGAAACATCAATCAGCTGCCTCCTGCACACCTCCTACTGGGGATGTGCCCGCAACCAAAGTACATGCCCTTGACTGGAATCGAACCTGGGACCTTTAGTCTGCAGGCCAACACTATCCACTGAGCCAAACCGGTTAGGGCTCCTCTGGCATTTCTTAGCGGTGAAGCTTGTTTTCCTGTGCGCTGTCAGGGGAGGCTCCAGGGTCCCCCCTGTGAAGCCTCGGAAGACAGCCAGGAGTCTCTGAAGCAGGGCAGGGCTTTACTGTCTAGAATGACAATGGCGATGTCACCTACAGAGCAAAGGGTGGAGGGTTTGCTTGCAGCCATTTTGAATGGTATGGTTCCCTAAGCTCGGGCTCCTGGGTGGGACGGGCCCACTGTGGGAGCAGCCCCAGCCATGTGGCCTCTGGGCTGGGGTCAGGACACTGACAGGAGCCAGCAGCTCCCGTGCCTGAGGCCTGACTGCAAGGTCCTCTGTCTCTGACCCAGGAGCCATCACAATAGCACCTGACTGGCCAGTAGTCTGGGAGCCCCTGCAGTCGGGACAGCTGGGTGACAAGGGGGGGAAGCGAACAAGGTGCTCTGGAGAGCGCACAGGGCCACGCGGGGTGGATTATGGCCATGAGAAACTCCAGGATCTGGCAGTGAACTCTCAAGCAGGCGGGAGAAGGGTCCCTGGCAACCACTGACCCAGACCGGGAGCTGAGCTATGAAGGGACTGAGACAACCCATGGGCAGCTTGGGGCAGCTCCTCTCCGGGCAGGAGCAGGAAGGGGTACCCTGGGCACAGGAGACCAGCAGGCCCTGCGAGGTCAGCCAGAAGGGACTGTCCCGTCGCTCCAACTACAGCCATGGGGAACTATGTTTCTTGTATACTTGGTGCTCTTCTGTATTTTCTAGAGTGGATGGATATGACATAAGTAATATGAGAATAAACTATTATTTTTAATTTCCTATTTTTTTCTTAAAAGAATTAACCTTTTAAGCATCCTCAGTCCGCTTACGAGGCAGACAGTGAGTGGGGGGCCAGCCCCCCAGCTCTAGCCACAGACGGCAAGGGTGCAAATCCTGGTTCCATAGCTGACCACCTACCACTTCGGGCAATTCCTAAACCTTGTTTGCCTCAGTTTCCCCTTTGTCAATGGGTTTATTAGTAATGCCCCTGCCTGGTCGGTGTTTCAGGATCAAGTGAGTTAATATATGTGACATGGTGCCGAGAAGGCTCCGGCCCGGTTGAGCCGCCCTGCCTCGGTCACTGGTTTGGCCTTGGGAGCTCACGGTCACTTGTGCTTCTGAGTTACATGTGTACCACCTTCTAAGGTCAGCTTACGCCCACGTCCCATCTTCGTCACTACCATGTACAGACCTATAGGAAGCAATCCCATCTTTCTTAGGATCTGACCACCTCCCCAGTTATCCCAAGAGACACACAGCTCATTCTACGGTCAACCGCACACGTGCACTGCCCCCCACATTTCTCTCTCTCTGACCCACTAACCCACTCCCAGGCCCCCCAGCCCTCCACCAGCCTGTTTCACCTGCCTGGACCCTATGGTGAACCTGTCTACCTTAATAGTCCAGCATCAACCACACTCTAGTACTCCCATCCCCTTGGCTTCCTCCAGCCCCACTTCAGTCCATGAATGGCTCCCTCCTGACTTCTCAACCTGTTAAAGAAACGACAGTCATGAGAAATGTTTGCTACCACATTCCCACGTGGGCCCCATGTTACCTGGCAATCTTTCCATGGATCTCTGGCTGACTCACAACTCCCTCATGATTTTTTAATATAACAGTTTATTGATTTTTAGAGAGAGGAATGGTGAGTTTGGTTTTAGAATTAAGTTGAAGGTACCTGTGAGACCTCTAAGAGGTATATGCATATTGGCCTCAATCACCCAGGGGAGCAAGAGGAAGAGAGAGAAAAACATCGATGTGAGAGTGTAATATTGATCACTGTCTCCTGCACACCCCCTACTGGGGATCAAGCCCGAAACTAGAGCATGTGCCCTGATCAGGAATTGAATTGTCAACCTTTTGGTGCACAGGACGATGCTCAACCAACTGTACCACATCAGCCAGGGCTACTCCCTCATGATTTTTAAATGTTCTCCATCCTCCAGGGTCCTAATCTCACCCCCTACTAACTTTCTTACAGCTGCAGCTGCCCATGCTTCTGCCTCACTGAGACAGCGCTGGGCCGCCTGCACGTCCCCTCAGCGTCCTCCCCCGACACTCAGTTTCTCCATGTCCATCATTATTTCCTTCGCTGGCTAAGGTCCTCTCCCAGGGCTCAGCCTTAGACATTCATGCTTGCATACGCTGGACCAGCACCTCTCAAACTCCAGCAGCACCAGAATTCCCCGGGGCTCGCCAGCGCCTGCAGACCAGCCCAGGTGGCACTGTGCCCTCCCGATGAGGGTGCTCCCTGCAGACTGCTCTGCTCCTCCCCTGGGTGATCTTGTCCCCTCACTTGGCCAAGGACTCTAGCATTTATGTCTTTAGTCCAAATCTTACCATTGAGGCCAAGATGCATAATCCCAGCCTCACAGGACCCTCCAACTGAATTCTAAGCCAAACTCCCCGTTCCTCCTGGAAACCTG